AAAAAAAGAGATTGTCTTGTCTCAGCCTCTCAAGTAGCTGGAACTGCAGTCAACCACCACAACACTGGCTATTTTTAGAGATGAGGTCTCGCTCTGGCTCAGGCTGGTCTCGAACCTGTGACCTTAGGCAATCCACCCGCCTTGGCCTCCCAGAATGTTAGGATTACAGGTTGAGCCACTGTGCCTGGCCTCTGCATACATAATCTTATTTCCAACTAACAGCTGGTATTATCTCTAGCTTACTAAGATGAAATTGCTTTCCCAAGCTGGCAAATAATGGTGCTGGGATTTGAAACCTGTGTTCTGGTGAGTGGGTGATCCCATCGACATTTATCAGCAACACCTTAGAACAAATTACACTGTAGGCTGAAGTGTCAAGAAGAGAGTACTGAACAAATGCTTTTCACCTCCTACTATTCACACCCCATCTCTGCTACTGTGGTTCTTGCTCCTCAGTCAGAGCTAATCCTACTTCATAGCCTCCCAGAGGCTTTTCCTAAGTCAGCCCACAAAGTAAGTCATCATTATTGCATGAAGTTAAAACAAATCTCCATTTCCTCATTCTTTATAAAGAAACAGCCAATGGCTATGTGCTCTGCACAGCTTTTCAATCAGAAGAGAGGAGGGAGGGGAACACTAATCAATAAAGTACTGTAAGGGCCTGAAATAACCTTGCTCTCCCATTAGACCATAAAGGAAGAATCTTTGTCTGTTCTCTGTTGTAGTCACAGCTCCTAAGAGTAGTGCCTGGCAAGTAGTAAGAGCTCAAGAAATATTGCTGAAATACATATTTCCTTAAAAACTGTATTTTTACATGTACTAGGAGCATAGAAAAATAGTTAAACCTTGGAATGTAGGAAAGGCAGAAACTAAAGATAAAAATGAAGTTCGTACCATGAACTTCTATCTTCCCCAAACTCAAAATTTCTGTAGAGAAAAGGAGACCATACAACCTTATCTTTTTAGCATTTCTGTCTAAGCACCAACATATGATATGATGTAGGGTCTCTAAAAGTTTTTTTTTTTTAATTTTTTCCCCCACCCTGGGTAGAGTGCTGTGACATCAATGTAGCTCACAGCAACTTCAAACTCCTAGGCTCAGGCAATCCTCTTGCCTTAGCCTCCCAAGTAGCTGGTACTACAGGCGCCTACCATAAAGCCCAGCTAGTTTTTCTATTATTAGTAGACACAGAGTTTTACTCTTGCTCAGGCTAGTCTCAAACTCCTGAGTTCAAGCAATCTACCCACCTCATCCTCCGAGAGTGCTAGGATTGTAGGCATGAGACACTATACCTGGCCCCAATAGTTATTTTTAATATAGAGTGAGAACCTCCATAGTTGACCACTGCAAGTTGACCTAATTTTCATAGACTGAACATGTACCACATGTACACATCAGTACAGTAGACCTAGTTTCTTATGTTGTCCACCTCTGTATGTAGACTAGTTTTTTACAGTCCCTTCAGTGATCAACTTACAGAGGTTGTACTATAAATAGTTTATGCTGAAATAATTTCATTCTCTGTAATTGTCTGAGATAAACATCCTAAGTTAGATTTGCTTTATTTCTGTCATACTATAGGATTTCAAAATTAGCTAAGCTCCCAATATAAGACCTACCAATCCACATTCTTAGTGTCATTTATTATGAAGTTAATCTCTTCTTAAGAGAGGCTTACAAAGATGCAACTTAACATTAATACAGAACTTGATAATTTATTGAGAACTTTCCATGAAGTATTTCCTATCAAAACTCTACTGTGGGGCGGCACCTGTGGCTCAGTGAGTAGGGTAGCAGTCCCATATACTGAGGGTAGCAGGTTCAAACCCGGCCCCTGCCAAACTGCAACAAAAAAATAGCCAGGCGTCGTGGCAGGTGCCTGTAATCCCAGCTACTTGGGAGGCTAAGGAAAGAGAATTGCCTAAGCCCAAGAGTTGGAGGTTGCTGTGAACTGTGACACCACAGCACTCTACTGAGGGTGATAAAGTGAGACTCTGTCTCTAAAAAAAAACTCTAATGTAAAGTAGATATTTCTGTTTACTCAATTTACTGATAAAAATGAGACTCAGATTAAGTAACTTGTCTAACTCATGCCAGGTTCATACTCAGTATAGGCAAGGTCCAAGCTTAGCTTTGACCAGAAGTTCTGTTTGTCTACATACTGGTTCATCTGTAAATTGATAAACTACTAGCTAGCAGGTTCTGTCTTAGCCACCTAATACATTACCAAGGACAGACAAACATTTTAATGCTTCCTACAGGTGATAATAATACTGAAGCAGCTGGCCATTGCTACCAACCACACTTTTAAAATTATTGTCCCACTATGGCCTCTTTTATTTTCTGCTGATAAATCAACAAGCAAAATCCCCTCACATTTAGATTCTGAAGCCTGCCAGAAGAGAAAATGAGGACAATGAAAGTAGTAGCAAAAAAGTAACCCATTACCAGAAAAATCTACTGCTGAGAATGTCAAGACAATTCATGACTCATAAAAGCAAAAATAACATTTACCTTTAATTTAAGAGATTCTCCAAGTAATGTTCCCTTATAATCTGTTGTATAGGTCCAATCATAGGGTTTAATAACCTCCTTGGAGTGTTCACCCTCCGTCCTCAAATACCAAAAGGAGAAGGATCAGATTCAAAGATGTAGAATATAGACTGTCTGGATTCATATACCATATCAAATTACATTTTACAAATACTATAAAGTATCCTACTAAAAACATATACTCATCATAATTCACTAGTACAAGATTTTTCTTACAGTTTTTCTGCACATTTACTGTTATTTAACTTGTCATGTGCTGATGTAGTCTTTCCAAATAGTCTGTACACTGCCTGAGGGCATGGTTTAAAGGCTTATACTTCTTTGCATCCTCCAAGGTACCTAGTACGTAACTGGCACAAAGTAAATAATTGCTGATTTGATTACCAAAGAAAATACATGCTCCTCAAATATTCAATACAAATTATAAGTAAACATTTTCTTTAAAAAAGAACATTAAGTACAATGTACTGTCTCTCCCCTAAGGAACACTGAAGGCTTTAAAAAGTAAAGTTAGGGTGGTGCCTGTGGCTCAAAAGAATAGGGTGCCGCCCCATATGCTGAAGGGCCAGCACCAACCAAAAAACTGCAAAAAAAAAAAAAAAAAAAAGTTAAATTGTAATTCAATTTAACTCAGCAAGTATTCCAGTAGTGGGGTTACTAACCTCCATTTAATGGCTGAGAAAATGGTCTAGAATGATACAGCTATAAACTTCAATAGAAATACTAGCCCTTCCTTCTAACAAAACACACATGTATATTGTTACTGAATATTTCTTTCAACTCTTCTTTTTGTTTAACCCACAATTGAATGGATTCTCACCTGCTTTCCTGCCATTCTTCAGCACAGGCTACTTTAAGCATTCCTTGATAGTTGTTTACGCATCTTAATGCATCTGTAGCATTGAACTCAATTCCAAAGCCAGAGCCATGCTGGATTCTTAAAACATTGTCTCCAAACATCATTTCAGGAAGAGATGGCATATGCAATTCATCAGCTAACCTAATCAAAAATCAAGTGAGATTATTTTACATCACTGTTGACACTTTTGTTTCCTTTTTATCCCAACAGAATTTTTCCTACATTACTGAGTTAAATAACATAAGATTTAATAAACATACAGTAGAACCTCTATAACTGACTATATCCCTACTTTGACCATTTCCTTAAGTTGACCTAATTTTCATTGACTAGACATGCAGCATATGTACTTACTCAATGGAAAACTGACCTCTATATAGTGACTACCTCTGTTAAGTTGTATCTCTACCACTAGGACTATAACACAGAATAACAATTTACCCTCCATTACTTGACAGTTGAGTCCACTCTACACCAAGTAAGTAGTAGACGACATGGGCTTTGCTCCTTGGTTTTATTATATTTTCTTTAGTATAAATTCTTCTTTCATGTTTTATTATTACCATGTGTTAGATTAGGCCTAACATCCTATTGTTTATCAAATGTTGCAGAAATTTTTTTTCTTCTTTTTTTTTCCAGCAGATTTTTTTCAATGTGAAGGAGTGGTTGGAACTGTAAGTATATTCTACAATTACTGAAAAATTTAACACTTCATTGAAACATGATGGCCCGGCTTGGCGCCTATGGCTCAAGCAGCTAAGACGCCAGCCACATACACCTAAGGTGGCGGGTTCAAATCCAGCCCGGACCCGCCAAACAACAATAATGGCTGCAACCAAAAAAAAAAAAATAGCCGGGCATTGTGGCAGGTGCCTGTGGTCCCAGCTACTTGGGAGGCGGAGGAAGGAGACTCGCTTGAGCCCAGGAGCTGAAGGTGAGCAGTGAAGCCATTGCACTCTACCCAGGGTGACAGCTTGAGACTCTGTCTCAAAAAAAAAAAAAAGAAACATGATGGCCCAAAGGAAAGAATTCAAAGAGCTGACACTGAAAGAAAAGGTTGCTCATCTATATTTTCTAGAAAGCAAAGACAAAGAAAGAAAAACAGAACATTTTGACATTAGCAAGACCACAGTAAACATCCAAAAACATAAACATAAGTACTCATAGAGATATGGTAAGGAAAGTAGAAACCTACAGCTGAAACGGAGAAATACTTCCCTCCATGAAGTCAATGAAGCCACACTAAGCTGGTTCAAACACATGAGGACTGTTAACACCTAACTTTCCTAATGATTCAAGACTTTCATTTTATCACAGGAATTCTGGGTGGCAAAATCCAAGCATCAAATGGTTGGCTCAATAAGTTTAAACTGAGACATGAGATCTCCCAGAAAGTTTTGTGGTAAATCCAATGACGTTCCAATAAAAACTGTGGAAGAGTTCATCAAAAAGTTTCCAGAGTTTGCCAGAGACTTCAAAAATGACATCTTTAATGCTGATGACTCTGGACTCTTTTTTCAAGGCAATGCCTGAAAGTAGCCTTGTCCTCAAATGTAAGAACAGAAAACGTTCTTTTTTTTTTTTTAAACACTCATTTGTTATTTATTTTGTGGTTTTTGGCTGGGGCTGGGTTTGAACCCGCCACCTCTGGCATATGGGACCAGCGCCTTACTCCTTTGAGCCACAGGAGCCACCCAGAACAGAAAACTTTCCAAAGAACATTTCACACTTCTCCTTTGAGCTAGCTCAACAGAGGGAAACTAAAGCCCTTGATGACTGATAAAAATCAACAAAGCCAGGGTGGTACCTGTGGCTCAAAGGAGTAGGGCGCCAACCCCATATGCGGTGGTGGGTTCAAACCCAGCCCCGGGCAAAAACTGCACAAAAAAAAAAAAAAAAATCAGCAAAGCCATGCGTATTCAAGAGCCAGAAGCCCAACGACCTTCTGTCACTTGAAGATCAAACCAATGCACATGGGACACTGGTCCCCTATTTGAGAAATTGATAAGGGGTATTGACTGTGAAATGAAGAAGATGAGACCATCTTCTCTACTGACAGTAGACAACTATCCTGGCCACCCACAAGTGAATCATCTCACAAATGTAACACTGAAATTTCTGCCTCCAAACATGGCCAACAAAATCGAACTTTTTGACCAGAGCATCATCAAAACATTTAAAATGGGGCAGCGCCCATAGCCCAGTGGGTAGGGTGCCAGCCACATACATCCAGGCTGGCAGGTTCGAACCCAGCCTGGCCCAGCTAAACAACAATGATAACTCCAACAAAAAATAGCCAGATGTTGTGGCCAGCACCTATGGTCCCAGTTACTTGGGAAGCAGAGGAAAAAGAATCACTTAAGCCCAAGAGTTTGAGGTTGCTATAAGCTATGACACCACAGCACTCTACTGAGGCTGATAAAGTGAGACTCTGTCTCAAAAAACATACAAACAAAACATTTAAAATGCACATCTGAGTCCAGCTCCTGTAGTGGGTCATTATCAAAACATAAACCTGTGGTCCACCTGTAGAGCAACTTCATTTGCTGCATCGATTAATGCTCTGGATCCTACCAAAAATAAAAAAGATAGCTGGGTACTGTGGTGGGTGCCTATAGCCCCAGCTACTTGGGAAGCTAAGGCACAAGGATCTCTTGAACCTGAGCGTTTGAGGTTGCTGTGAGCTATGATGATGCCACAGTACTGAACCACAGGGTAACAAAGTGTGACTCTTGTCTCAAAAAAAAAAAAAAAAAAGTTGGATTTGTCACAACCCAAGAGCAC